CAAATCCACCCCTCCCCCCCCCCTCCCAAAAAAAAGCCCGTTGAGGCGCAGGCAGTCATCAGGGTAGCCGGCAGCAGGGTCACGAGGGGGGCCGAGCCCTCCCGCGCGCGCCGGGAGCGGATTTCACGCACCGAGACACAAAGGGCCCCTTTTCATCCGGAGCCGCTCACCCTGCGCACGCAGCGGAGGACGGCGCGAAAGGACCCGCAGGGATGGGCAGAGCGGGCAGGGAGCCTGACGGCTTCTCCTTCCAGCTCACGTGGACCACAACAAGGTCACACATCGTACCCAGGAGGCCGACAGACACATGGGGGCTTTTGTGATGGGAAGAGAGCCTGCAGGCAACAGGGAAATTCCCAAAAAGCCCCCGGTCAGCCGTTCCCCCTCCCCATAGCACCTACTTTCGGGTCACACTGCCCAGACACACCAAAGGCTGTGAACGCACCAAAGCATCCTTCTCCAAAGCTTTAAGAGAACCCTACTGAAAGGGGGTGCCTCCAGAAGCTGCCAGCTCTGGTCCTCTGAAGCACCCCCATCTCCGTGCCGTCAGCAAGACAGGGGGCTGCAGGGGAGCCCCTCGACTCTCTCCAGGAGAGCAGCACTGTGTCCTGTTGTGTAGGGATGGGGATGACCCACTTAGCATGAAGAGTTTATTTGCTGTTGTTATTAAAGTGCAGAAGCCAAAGCAGCCAGACACGGGGCCAGTTCAGCTGTGCTTTCCGTGGGAGAGAATAAACAAGCTGCGGCAAGCGTGAGCCCTGCGGGGAGCAGATTCCCCACAGAGACACATCGCCATGCGTTCACACCCAAGGCCAGCCTGTCCCCAGACAGGGAAGCGAGCTGCAGGGATTACTGTGGCGACTGGGCAGCCAGATAATCCCCAAAAAATGAGACCTCATCGGAGGTATGCGCGGTCCGATGCTAGGCTGGCTGGGATGCCCCGGCTGCACCGTCCCACGACCATGCCCGCCTCAGGGATCTCCAGCACCTGGATCCCAGATGGGGCTGGGTATCTCCTGCAGGGCTGAGGCAGGGGGAACAGCCCGAAGCCTCCTTGCTTGGAAGCAGCCGGGAGACGGCAGCGGGCAGGGAGTCACCAGCTGCTTCGAGGAAGGAGCTCAGCTCACCTCCCCCCAAAATAACCAGGCGGCACCCAAAACTGGGTCAGCCCACAAGGGCCACACCGGGGCTCAGTGGAGCCCTAAGGCGGTGCCTTGTTTGCATAACGAGGAGCAGATGGCAAGCTAACAAGGGCAGCCATCTCTGTGCTGCATCTCCCAGGATGCCCCAACTGCCCCAGCTCCGAGCCGCCAGCCCAGCACAGGGCAGTTACTGGGAGGGGGCTGCACCATCAGCACACCCCCTCCAGCATCGTCCTTCCTCCCTCTCTCCATACAACACTTCAAGCACAGCCAAAATCGCGTCCTTGGCACACACACGTTGGGAGGTGACCACGGGTGCAGTGTGAAACGTGCCTTTCCAGCACGTGACTGAGCATTCCCACTGCAATTACACACGCAGCTTTCTGTCCACCCAAAAAATAGGAAAGACAACCTGGGAAAACGACAACCGCGCAACGAACAGATCGTCAGGCGAGGGCGGGTGGTTCCCAGGAAAACCCCAAGCCCTAGGAAGCAAGCCTCACTTCCCCTGCACAAACCTCCCCTGGACATTCCCACTGCAGCGTGCTCGCGGCTCACGTCCCCATGTCACTTCCCCATCCGCAGCACCCTCAGACCACAGGCTGCAAGGCCGGGTCCCGACTCGCC